GGAGTCCAGGACCAGAGCCGAGGGCCTAGTTCATGGAGTACCCTCTGAGCCCTGGGTCCCTGCATGCTGAGCGGATTTGGACAATAGGGTCAAGGCAGGACACACACCCCGGAGCGACTTGCTGCTTTTTCAGCAGTCAGCCCCACTGCCAGCCACTTGGGCCACTCAAGCCCAGGGTCGCTGGCCGCTGTCCAGGAGCCTTGGCCCACCTGCAGCCAGGGCTCCAGGTCCAGATGCCCAGTGAGTGACCCTGTTTGACGGATGGAGGCTCTGACAACAGGCGGGCTGGCTGCCTGGGCCCGGGGCTCTTCCGGCCGCGGTTGCAGTGGTCAGCAACTGCTGCTCTCTGGCCCGGTACCAGCTGTTGCCCCAGGAGACCAGCTGGCCTGGCTTCCTGCAACCATGCGGCCTGCCAGCCACTTCCTGTCCCATCCCAGGGCCCACCGAGGACTGTCTTGGGGCGCCGCTGGGGGCCTGCCAGCAAAGCTCTGATAAAACGGTGCTCATCTCCCTGGCATCTCAGCCCCTCCCACCTGTGTGGGGCCAGCAGTTACTCCTGGGCCTCAGACTGTCTTTTCCTCAAGCGTTGGCCCTTTTTTTTATCAAGGACCCTAAAAAGAAAGCACCTCTTTCAAAGAGACTCACTGGCAGCTTCTTGATAGTGAGGTTCCAGGCTCTGGGGCTCTGGCCCATGGGCCCTTCATCCTTTCATTCTGGGGAGAGGGGGATGGTCCCTGCAGACCTGGGGACAAGGGAGTGTCCATGGCTGCAGCCTCCTCACAGACACGGGGACAGTGGCTGAATTTTCTGATGAGTGGGGGCAGCCAGTCACCACATGCTGTGGTTCTGGATGGTTCTGTTGCCTGCCCACGACCTTGCTCTGGTGTGTTTGACCTCGAGTCAGCAGAGGGGTTGAGGGTGAGGGACCCTGAGGACACTGAGTAGGGTGTAGACAGAGGATGCTCATACTTCACCCCAGCTGTTGAGGTTGTTATTGTTATTGGCATGCACAGAATCCAGGAGCAGCCCTGATAAGGCTCACCAGGGTTTTACCCTCAGTCAGAGAGGGAAATGGGTTTTGGTGTGTTTTGTTTTGGTGTTTTTGAGTGAAAACAGCACCCCCCCCCCCCCCCCGCTGTGTTTCAAGTCCAGCATCTGCTAGGGGATGGGAGGCTTGCCCCCAGTGGCTGACAGCTGACAGCCTGTGTGTGAAGAGTTATCAGAGGTGGACCCCAGGCCTGGAGAGTGAGATAACCGGTCAGGCCAGGGTGAGAGGTCAGGCTGGGCAAGGCTGGGCAGAGCCTTTGGGTGCTGCTCAGATAGATAAGTGCCCTGGTGCACGCCTCCATCTGTATGCTCGCCCCGCTCAGAGCCCCTTCTACCTGCAAGTCGGCATCACGGGGAGTGGCTTGCATTCTGCAGACCAGACTCTGAACTCAAGCCACCTGGTTGGCCAGGTTGCAGCTGGAGTTGGCGCTCCTGGTCAGGCTCTAAGCGTGGCCAGCGGCCCAGGGGGCCATGGATTGCGAGCTGCCCACCAGGCCTGCTGGGGGTTGTTCCTCACTAGGCATCATGTCCTGCCCTCCCAGACATGAGGATGGGTACAAGTGAGGGAACAAGAGTACAAGTGCAAGTCTGTGAGTTTCTTATGGGGGGATGGTGACTGCAGAAGGTGGCTGGCCCTCTAGCAAAAACCTGAGGCCCCGACCCCCTTGCAAGGTAGAACTGGGGCGCTCCTGCAGGGCAGCAAGATGCCATGTCACAGCCAGACAAGGCCAGGACGGGCCCAGCCCTGAAAGCCTGTGGGACCAGCCACCAGGCCCCGCCTGCCCTGCCATCTGCCCACAGCCGCTCCTTTCCTGAGCCCACCAGGCTCTATCTTCTGGTCCCAGCTGTTGCCTGGTGTTTATCTGGGGGGTGCCAGCACTGGGAACCCCTAGGGGGCCGGGTTCCAGCCAGTGCCTGCCTGCTGGTGCCCTGGGGCGGACTGTGCCCCCTGCCCTGAAGCACAGGTGGGGGCTGCAGAGGTCCTATCCCACCCGGGTGACCCCTCCACCCGGCGGTGTGGAAGCTGAGGCACCTTGTTGGGGTGATGGGCTTAAAGCCAGGGCAGCCAGAGGCCGACCCAGCTTCCCAGACGCCTCCTGGCCCTGCTGTCTAAGGCTGGGAATGGGGCCCCATATAGAAAGGACATTATGGGGAATAGTCAAGCGTTTACTCTTGGGCCAAAGTCAATGAACATTAACGTCTCATTCTATGTTTTCATTCTTCTTTCTGTAAAAGTAAGGAATATTACAGAGTCCCCTTTGTCCTGAGATCCGGCCCATTTCCCTTTCTGTCTGAGACAGAGCTAAGCTCAGGGTCCCCTGGGGGCCCCGGGGCTGGGCTTGGCAGCCACACCCCCTTCCTGGATCCACAGGGGCTAGGACACCTGCCGGGCAGGGCCCTAGTTCCCTGAAGGCAAGGCCCTGGGGGCCCTGGGGCTGGGCTTGGCCAGCCACACCCCCTTCCTGGATCCTCAGAGACCTCATCTGTAGGGTGGGGAGGGGAGCCCCCGCTCACCTCGGGTCGGAAACCCCAAACCCCCTGAGGCGTGCAGAGATGACAGCAGCGAGGGCTGCTGGGCGGGGGCTGACTGCCGGCAGGAAGCCCCGTCTCCCCCTCCCAGCGCAGCCTCCCCCTCCCCGCTGCTCTGGCCACGCCCCTTCCCCCCACCCCACCCCGCTTCCGGCCTGGAGCATGAATGGCGAAGTGATGCAATCCGCCCGCCTCTTGCTGCATGCGGAAACCGATGCCTCAGGGTTGTCACTTTCCAACTACGGAAATGTAGGACTGCCCGGAAAGGTTCCTCCTCCCCCCACCCACCCTTCCCCGCCCTCTACTGTGCCCAGGCTCCTCGGCCCGCTGGTGGGAGCGCACCTGGGCTTGCTCTCCCAGGGCCCCTCACCCAGGGTCCCAGCCACGTGGTGGTTGCACCATCCTGGATGCTCAGGAGAAGGAATTCCCTGCTGCTCCACCTCTCCCCACCCACAGTGGGAGGGTGTGTCAGAGGGGCCCCAGAGTCCCGGGTCTGCCCCTGTCATGGAGGACAGGGGTCCTCTCAGCCTCTGGCTCCTCTTCTGTGCTGGGAGTGGCAGCGCTGATGTGCATGATGCAGGACAGCTGTCTTGGGGCTGATCTGGAGGGCCTGGACTGAGTGTGTGTCCACCCCCGAGCCACACGCTGAGGGTCACTGGTGCTGTTTGCCCCTTGCACATGTCGACCCCTTTATCTGAGCCTCTCCCCGCCAGGGCTCAGCTCGTGCCGCTGGAGACAGCTTTGGTGCCCTGACAGGGACTCTGCCCCCACGTTCTCAAGGCCTTGCATGGGCCCCACTGCCCTGAGGCAGCTGTCCACCACCAGCCTCTGACAAGTGCAGGACCACCACCTGGGAGCCCAGGGGCCCAGGCTAGGGTCCCCACGAGTGAGGGCCACTCGGGGTCCATTTATCACAGCCCTCCACTGTTGTACCTGGCATGGGGAACGTCTGAGAGTTTCAGTTTAGGAGCAGGGGCCAAAGGCAAATGGTTTTAAGACAGATTTCGACCTCTACTTTCTGGGGCGTGGCAGTCCTGATCAGTCATTGCATCAGCCAGGCTTAGAGCAGCGAAGAGAAAAGGACAGGGAGGGTGGTATTCCGGTATCAGTTAATTTCCGAGAGAGAAGCTGTGGGGTGGGGCTGGTCCTAACCAGAGCTCTTGGGGCCATTTCCTGTTTTTCACCCACCTGGACTGTCGTGTCTCATCTAGTTAATTAGCGTGGATTTATTTCTTTGGGGGCCTTTCCCTCACTTTGTAAAATTACATGTAATTAATTTAGCTGGGGAGGGAGCCACGTGGCACCTGCCAGCCCGAGTTGGTTCTGTCTGGAGAAGCGCTGTGTGCAGAGCATGGTGGACAGATGTCCTTCCCTTGGGTCCAGGCTGTCCGGTTAATGTTTGACTGCCAACCCGCCCATCATAAAAGGCCCCATCTGCGCCCTGGCCATTCCCCTGGGCAGCTGGTGTCAGCAGCGGCGTGAGGCAGAGCCACCCTAAGAGCCGTCACGCCAGGCATGTTTCCACGGCGGACGCAGTGGAGGAGGAAGGCATGGGTGTTGGGGGCAGGTTTGTTCCTCTGTTTTCATCTCATCCACAAGGGACGCGGTGAAAGAGGGCATGGGTCGGGGCTGATTCCTTCTTTCCTTTTCATCTCATTCTTTTTGGTTGTGAGTTTACAGAGTTGGCTGCCTTCCCCGCAGCTCGCCAGGCCCCTGAGCACTCAGCCCCTGCCCCCGCTCAGGTCTAGGGGTCTCCCCAGGTCCCAGGTGGGGCCTGCCTGTGTTGTTGAGTTTGTGGAGCCTGGCTTGCCTGCCCTGTGCCCCCACCCTGCATCCCCACCCCGCTGTGGGGACTGCCTTGGGGTGGGGTCTTCAGTACCTGCTGCAACACTAGCAGCAGAGTTGGTGCTGGTTCTCTGGTCTAACCACTGGGACCCCCGGCTGTGCGTCTCCTTCAGCGCCCCCTGCACCCAACACCCCACCCCACCCCACCCCCGGCTTATCAGGCTTAGGCTTCATCCGCTGTGTCCCTGGGGGAATCCTACAAGGACCCTCTGAAGAGAGTGATCCCCCCTTGAGAGGTTAGGGTGTCGGGTAAATTGTGCCGAAGCGTCAAGTGGGAGCAGAAAGGTGACTGCGTGCACACACACCCCCACCGTAGCAGCTTGTGCTCCTCAAGGGCGCTCCCTGGAGGGACTCAGGTGCAGGTGGAGGTGTTTTGATTCCCCGTGGGAGGTTGAAATCTGTCCATCGGGAAACATTCCCTTATGGATGGCAGCCTGGGGGCACCTGGGTTCGCAGCCTGTGGCCTCGGGTCCCCTCCTTTCCAGAGTCCAGATGGTCAGACCCAGGGAAGGGGCTGGGGAGTGCCTGCCCCTCTGCCTGTGTTTGCACAGCACTCACTTGCTGCCCTGTCTCCACAGTGCTACTCACGGCCGTGAACTGTTACAGTGTGAAGGCCGCCACCCGCGTCCAGGACGCCTTTGCTGCTGCCAAGCTGCTGGCACTGGCCTTGATCATCCTGCTCGGCTTCATCCAGATCGGGAAGGGTGAGTGTGCCTGGGGTGGGGGTGCTGTCTCTGGACACCAGGCCCTAGATCCACCACCTTGGCTAAGGGGATTCACTGGAGTCAGTGGGTTGGGTGGTCCCAGGGGATCGCTGATGCTGAGGTAGTCCGAGTGAATGTGGTCACCGGCAAGTTGTCAGTCCCGAAGCAGTGGGAGAAATGGGTCTACCACGCAGACCATAGTCACCTGTCCACACAGGGTGGGCGTGGTGGTGACGGGGGATCGAGGGGAGAGCTTGGCAATGCACCTGCTGTGTCAGGAGTGTGGCCAAGAGGTGTTGTTGCCAGAACTGGTGGATCCTCCACTTGGGAACGTGCCCCCAGCCCTCTGCAGGGCCCAGGTGCCATGTGGATGCCCGCCGCCGTCCCCACCCCTCCCACAATGGCCACCCATGTGGCATGATGGGTGACCCGCAGAGTTTATCTGGGGGGTCACGGGCAGGTGGAGTCGACCCCGTTTCTGAAGGGGGTGTCTCGGTGAACAGAGGCACGGCTGTACGGCAGGCCAGGGTGGCCATCTGCTCAGCTGCCTCAGTTCAGTGGTCCTGCAGGGCTGAGGTCCCCATCCCAGCCCTGTGTGTAAGGAGGGACCCTGGAGCCTCACTCTGCATCTGGGTGCTGACAGAATCTGGGCCAGGAGGTGGGAGACCAGCCTGTGTCCCCTGACTTCCTGGGATCTCACGCCCCAGCATTTTCCTGAAGACAGGACTGTGTCTAGAGCACGCTGGCCAGGCCAGGCTCCAGATGTCAGGAGGGTGACAGCTCTGAGGGAGGTGGTCAGGGCGGAGGGGGACTCTCTGCCATCTGGAGCTTACGGTGGGAACCAACAGGTGGGAGAAGGAAACCCCTCCTGTGCCACCAGCCTGTCCCGCTGGGAACTGTGTCGAGTCTCCCAAGGAGGAGGACTTGCTCAGGGAGGTTCGCTTGGCTGGTGTGATAAGATGCAGGGGGACTAGACTTCTGTGAAAACAGATTTCAGCAGGGATAGCAAAGAGCTTTTGTTCAGCTTGAATACATAATGTGTTTATAATTCTGTTGCTGTCGAAAACATCCTCCCCCGAAGCCATTCCTTTCTGAACCTGGCAGGCTGTGCAGCGTCTGCAGAATTCCTGTCTGCAGAATTCCTGTCTACGGTGTTTTCTTCCAGATGGTCCCCTCCCTTCTAGAGGACTTTGTGGAAACCACCCTTTCCTCATGACTGCCGCCTGATCTCCACTCCAGTGGCTGCCCCAGGGTCCCATGCTGAACCTCGGCAGGAGGGTCAAGACCCTTCAGGCGGGGCTTAGCACCACAGTACCTGAATGGCTGCGGGCCACATTGCATCTGGAGGACATGACCTGTGTCTTACAGACTGGCCCAGTTGTTGTCCTTGCTGTCCTTCACCCAGTGCCCGGCCCCACCGGCCTGCCTGGAGCCCAGGGGCCCTGGGGCTGCAGAAGGGCCTGGGCCGTGGGATCAGCAGGTCCAGTTCTAGGCCTCTGTGGCCTCGTCCTCGATGCCGTGAGACTCACAGGCAGTGCTGCCCTCCTTCCCGTCCTTCACCAGGACCAGACCCATGAATAGGAAACTCGGATTGGGGAGGGTCAGCCCCGACCGGGACGGCTTTTCTGAGGGCCGGAGGCGGGGTTGGTGTGACAAGGGACCACTCTGCAGTCCTGGACTGAGATTGCAGGTGTGGGAGGGGCTCACTGGGACTGGGAGTGGGGTAGTCGGGCGTGTGGGCCCTCGGGACCACTGCCAGCCTTTTCAGGAAGGGGGAGACTGAGATTATCTCAGATCCCAGTGGGCACGGCTCAGCCAGGGGAAGCCACAGAGAGCAGCAGGCCCAGCGGCAGGGTCAGGAGGTGGAACCCTGAGGACCAGGGCTGAGCGAGAAGCCTGGGCAGCTTTTGTGTTTTTTGCTTTTGTCTGTTGGCCGTTTACCTATAGCACCTGCAAGGCCCTTGGCCCAAGGTCAGGCTGTTCCCGGATTGGAGGGTGGGAGAGGTACAGAGAAGACGGGTCCCTGGAGCCCAGGCCCTGCCCAGAGGACACATGGTGGGACCTTGTGGGTGCATGGATGCAGTGGCTGGGGTCACCCAGATGCAGATAAAGGGTGCCCCCTGCTGGAGGTCATGCGAGGGGACCAGGCAGGCCGCGCCGCCCCCGCCCCAGCAGCTCCCTTGAGCTCACCTGGCCCTGGGCCCAGCAGGAGTCCTGGGTGTGGAGGCCACTGTGGATGGTCACCATGTGCGGGGACACGAGCTCCCTCAGGGCTCGGCCCACCCTGCATCCTGTCCCAGGGCTGTGTCGGCCGGTGGTGGGGAAGGCCCTGAGCAGCTCTGCTGGTGGTCAGGGCGGGGGGGGGGGGGGGGCGGTGGCTGTGGGGCTGGGAGGTGATCCTCATCCCAGGAGCACCTGGGGCTCGGACTGGTCTCTCCAGGCAGAGCCCTGCGCCTCCTGGAGCCTCACGTCCTCATCTGATACGTGCCCGCAGCAGCCCCAGGCCTGTCTCTGGGTCATGGGCAGGTGCCTCGGGCAGCCTCTGAGCAGAGCTGCTCTCTTCAAAAGTCGGGGGAAGACGTTCGGGTGCTCCTCCTGGACCCAGCCACCCCAGTGCAGGACTCAGGGTGCCTGTGACAGAGGCCGTCTCAGAGGGTTCGGGATCACACCAAGACTGCAGGATGCTGACGGGGGCCACAAGGCTGGCTTTCTGTCCTCCCCAAGTCAGCTGTGCCCCAGGAGACAGGGCTGGTGCTTGGTGGGCCGTCTGCTCCTGGCCAGATGCCCGGAGCATTGGGTCACACGCAGATGGGGCGCCTCAGCCACGGTGGGAGGACTGATGCAGGCGGCTCACCCCCTCGGGTGCTCTTTGATGGTTTTTAATTGAGACCTTTCTGTCGGCCTGCGCAGCTCACATGCTTTGCTTGTGCGGCCCGCCTAGAAGAAATCAAAGGCCTGGCAGCTGGCTCTGTCTTCCTGCCGCCTCCACTCAGCCCCGCCCTGGGTGGTCAGCACGCAGATAGGGCAGCAGCAGGGCAAAGCCCTGTGCTGGGCGCCATCAGTGCTCGGGAGTCTCCCAGCCTGTGCAGTGGGCACAGTTGGTGCTCACAGGTCTGCCTGCCTGTGCAGTGGGGAGAGGGTTCTTTGAATCTTCACGCTGATCTCGACGTCCAGAGACAGCTCCTCCGGGAATTTAAAAGACAGACGATACAGTAGACAGGCTGTGGGGAACCAGCATGTCCTCCACATGGGGAACCATCCTGTCCTTGCCCCGCACCCCCTTAGGCAGAGCCAAAGAACAGGCACCGGACCCCAGGTGCCCAGCCCAGGGTGGGGAAACCGAAGAGAGGACCCTCAACAAGCCCACTGTAGATGTAACCCCCGCCGGGGTGCCTGGTCTGTGGATGGAGCAGGGGGCAGAGCTGACTCTCAGCAGAGCTCAGCCCTGCGGCCAAGCTCCTGCTTACTCAGCCAGTAATGGAGAGGTGGGGTCCGTAGCCAGGCTCTTTCACGTCCCAGCCTTGCCCGTGCGTTGCAGAATGGAGACTGGGGCATCTGAGCCCTCAGTCTGCAGAGTGTCCTGGGGCGGCTGCAGCACAGGACACGGACGGGGCTTCAGACACTGCAGTTTTGGTCTCAGAGTCTGAGGCTGATGGTCCACAGTCCAGGTTGAGCTCCCTCCGAAGCCTGCAGGGGGAGCCTTCCTGCCTAGTGGTCCCCAGGCTCGTGGCCACATCACACGGTCTCATCCTCACGTGGCCGTCTCTGTCCTACAAGGACGCTCAAGGAATGGGGCCCAACCTAGTCTACAGCGTCTCACCTTGCGATCCTTGCCTTGATTACATCTGTAGAGACCTTTATCAGAGCATGTCACTTTCTGAGGTTCCAGGGGGATATGAACTGTCAGGGGTACTCTGTTCAGCACCTGGCACCACATACACGACCCCTGTGTTACCAGTGGTCCAGGAGTTACAGAGGGACCAAGCGAAAGATTCCAACGCAGTGGACACCCCCCGCCCTGGTTGAAGGAGTGACTTTTCTCACAGTCGGCCTCCCATCCGGGGAGGGGTTCTGGGGGCTATGGCAGGGGCGGGTCCTAGTCACCCTGAGGCTCTGGGATTTTTCTGGCTTTCCGCCAGCCGCCATCTCCAGACTGGCCGCGGGTTCCCATGCCTGGGCCCAGGCCCAGCCGTGGTGAGGGTGACAGGCCAGGCCAGTCCCAGGGGGACCCAGAGACCTTGGTGAGCCTTTGTCCTCTGATTCAGAGGGGCTGGCACGTCGCAGTGTGCACACGGCCCCTCTGAGGGTGGGGTGCCTGCACCCCCGGGTTTTCTTGGCTGGTTCCCACGGCCCTGTCTGCATGACGCAGGGATTGGGCTGCTTTCCCTGAAATGGGCTCTCTGGGGCCTTGTGAACACTCCCCTCCCAACCCCCTTGTTCTCAGAGGGATTCTGGCGGGCAGGCGGGGCTGCCTGGTGCCCAGAGCTGCCCGAGGGCTGGTGTGTGGCTGTCCACTAGCTTTCACCTTCCTGTGGCCCTGTGAGGCCTGCAGAGAAGCCCCAGAGAAGCGGGGCCCAGGGGGCCCCACTGAACTGCTGGATTCGCACACCCCAGGCCCCGCAGGAGGGCCTGCATGCTCCCCGTCTGTCTGCCCCCGTCTCCCCATCTCCCCATCTTTCCTGTCTGCCTCCTGTGAGCCCAGGGGCCCTGTAAGGACGGCTGGCATGGAGAGCTCCGTGGTCATGGGTGGGGGTGGGGGGTCGGCACAGTCATCTCTCTCGTGTCTGTCTGGTGTCTGGAGCTCTGTTTAAACAAGGCTCGCATTCCAGCTTGGGGTCCGTGGGAGCCCTTGCGCATGGCTCGGACACCTGTCATCGCTCTAGGGCAGGATCCCACCCGGCAGTATCTGCCGTGTCCAGCAGCACCTGCTTCCACCAACCAGATGAACCCCCCGCCAACCCGCCCCACGTGACAATCCCAGGTGTGTCCTGGTCAGCACCATGTCCCCTGCTTGCCGAGGCCGGTGGGTGGCTGAGATCAGTGTGGAGTCTGGGGTCTGCCCTCCCAGAAGGCCTCTCCCGTGTGTCCCCTGTGCTGGCCGCTGGCACCGGGCAGCTGCCCACACGCATCACCCCGTGGGGCTCTGGCGGCCTCGTTCGGCTTTTTGCTGCTCTGGAGACAGGCAGGTGCCCCCCCTCAGCTCTCCAGACCTGCGTCGAGGGCTCCATTCCCAACAGGACGCATGGACGGCATGGGTGGAGCCACTGTCCCTTCGCAGTCACTCCTGAGCTGTGGCCGTCTTGGGGGGCCCAGCCAAGTGCTGTGTGGAGCCAGCAGAGCCGGCGCCTTCTCCGAGGCGCCCGTGGAGAGGAGGGCAGCGCTTGGACAGCATTTGGTTGGGTGCCCAGTGCAACTGCGGCCCTGATCTGGGAGGCCCTCCAGCAGACAGAGGCTGGACAGACCCAGAAGCTCCGCTGGGGGGGGCCTGTGTGCGTTCACTTGGGACAGTTCGGCGGGAGGGAGATGACAGGGTGGGGGCAGTCCAGAGGGGCTTTCAGTAGTGGGTCAGAGCCCAAAGCTGCCAGATTCCTGGCGGAGCTCCCCCAAACCCCCACGCTGTGCTAGGAGTGATGTGGGGGAATGTGGGGTCTGGGATGCAGGGATGTCCACTTGCCTCCGGGGGAGTTGGACACTTTGTAGACAGGGAATGAGGCCCCAGACAACTCAGGAGCTCCCCCCAGGACAGCCCAGCCACTCCTGTCCTTCAGAGGCCCCTGGGCAGCCCAGTGAGATTGTTCAGTCTGAGTTCGGGCAGAGCCGCTGTGTTTTCTTGGGGTTTCAAGGCTACAAGTCACCCGGTACATCTAGTAAATTCTGGGGACAGGAATTCCATCCACTGTCTCAGGGCGATGATGCTTTCATGTCAGGACACCAGGCTGGTTGGTGTCCACAGAGCTGAGTAAACCCTTGATAAAAACAGAAGCTTCCAGATGTCAGGGCTAAAAACCATGGTTCTTACTTGAAAACCCAGCTTGTATTTCAAGCCTCGAATTTCATATTCAGCAAAAAGAGCAGCTGTTCCGTGTAGCGGTGTCTCCAGCCCACTAATGCACGTGTGTGTATACATGGGTGCACACCCACGTGCACACACATGCAGGCAGTGTCACTACAGGGTTGTGCTTGAGGTGGGAGCCAGTTCTAGCCGATGCACTGAGGTCTGTCTCGCAGCCTGTGTGCAAGGAAGCTGCCTGTGAATCCGCAGGAGACAAGGAGGCGTGTCCTGGTAGGGAAGTGGGGCAGGTTGAGGAGAAAGGCAGGTTCGCTCCTTGGAAGGAGCCCTTGTTGGCAGAGACCTTTGATGCCCTAGAAGCAGTGACGAGAGCTTAAGCAGTGGCAGCGGCAGCAAAGCATGTGAGGATGCGGGATCTGTGCAGACCTGGGGTGGTGGAGCCGTGAGGGGCTCCCCTGGGCTCGGGAGCAGCTGCAGAATTCTGGGAGTGCTGGGCGTGTCGTGGTCCCAGAACCAGGCCGCTGGCAGGTGGCCTTGAGCCTCCTCGTCCCTGATGGTGGGACAGCTGTAAAGGAATGTAAGTTCCAGAACATCGTGTGGGGACTGGCCGGGCTCTGGTGCTGTGCTGAGATGCACTGTCCAGCTCTCTGTGCCGCGCCCCCCCAGCCCTGCTGACCACCCTGTGACTGGGCAGTCTCAGGCCCTGGGCGTCCTACTCAGATCACGTGTGGGCGGCGGGCTGGGTGAGGTGCCAACCGCCTCGGAGCCCGTGCTCATCACGAGACCATGGCCTCATCTGGTGGGCAGAAGCGGCCTCACGCGTCCCCCGTCCGTCTCATAGCTTCGGCTGGAGGTGAAGGGCAGACAGCGCAGGCATGCCGACCCAGAAACAGGCACTCAGGGTACCGTCTCTCCCCCGAGGAGCTTACCGGAGGACATGGGTGCTGCCTGGAAGGAAGTGCAGGCTTCAGTTGGGTGGAAGGAGGGGTTCATGGGAGCCGCCTGTCATGCCCCAGGGGTGGCGTGGCAGCCTCTGTCTCCCCATCCCCCGAGAGACCTGCAGACCCACTGGCCATGGGCCACAGGGACCCATGTGGCAGCCCTGGGGTCCCGTCTCAGCCTGGCCCCTGGGGACCTGGGCCAGCTGTTCTCAGACCCTCACCTGCAGGTGAGAGACTGTCCCTGTCCCGATTGGACGCTCAGCTCCTCCAGCTCCATGTGCCAGGCACACTGGCTCTGCTTCTGTTGCAAGTCCCTCCCACGAAGGTGATGGTTGCTGAGGTGTGTATCAGTGCTGCCGCCACCCCCAGAGCTGGGGAGCCAGGAACTGACCCCCCACTGTGTCAGTTCCCACTGTCAGGCTGGCCTCTCATTATGGAAAGTCTTTCCGGCCCTGGGTGTTAAGGGGCCATTGCACCAATGGTGTAACAGCCCAGAACAGGCAGGCCAGACATGGTGCTAGTAGCCAAGGACCCTTCTGAGGCCCCCATGTTTCATGTCTATTGTACCAGGTTGAGGGGGGCCCCTGTGACACGTCTAATGGAATCTGGATTTGGCCTTATTTAGAAAAAGAGAGGGCTGGAGCTGAGGCCACCCTGGTTTGCTGGGGCCCTGAATCCAGTGACACGTGTCCTTTCAGGACACAGGAGTCACAGCCAGAGGTGGCAGGTGATGGTGGGGCAAAGGTCGAGCCATGCAGCCACAAGCCCTGGACACCTGGGGCCTTTTGGGGTAGAAATGGTCAGCTGAGAAACCAGCCCCCTTGTGTCCAAGAGCCAGTATGTCCGTCTGGGTTAAAGAGCAGCCCACCATCCTTCCCCAGCTCTAGCCCCTCGGGTCTGCTGTGTCCAGGGGCAGGGGTGAGAAGCCTGGGTTTACAGCTCTGGGCTCCTGGCACTAAGGGGGAGAGCGGGTCTCTGGCCCAGAGCCATGTCATGGGGTGTCCTATCCCCCAGGCACAGACAGACAGGGGTGCTCAGCATGGCTGGGGGTCTACAGAGCCACCAGTCCTATCTGGGGGGCCAGGGGAGGGCCCTGGGGGCTGTGTTCCTCGAGCTCAGGGCAGAGCCGAGCTCCGTCGGCCCCCGCACCCTCAGCCCCGGGTGGCTCACAGGTGCATTTAATCTGTTGCATTTTTGTCTGTTACCATGTTTTGCTCCAGGAACATTCCGGAACTTGTGGCTTGACCTCGATTCTGCACTGTCTAACCCAGAATTCCTTTCTGTCTGTTTGGCCTCTGCCAGGTGACGTAGCGAATCTGGATCCCAAGTCCTCCTTTGAAGGCACCAAGCTGGATGTGGGGAACATCGTGCTGGCGCTATACAGCGGCCTCTTTGCTTACGGGGGATGGTAGGTTCTAGAATGCCTGGGCTCCAGAGCGCCCAGAAAGCCACATGTCTCGGTCATCCATGGTGATTCTGGGGGCAGGAAACCCCGCTATGTCCCAAGGAAGCACAGAGGGGCCCCCACAGCAGCCCTGGTGCTCTTCTTGGCCCCCAAGAAGGGTGCCCCCAGATAAACCTCTGCGGACACCGCTGACCCTTCAGAGACTGTGCTGCTGCCTGGGGGTGTGGGGAGGGGCAGGACCATCGCCATCTCAGTAGGGGCCTGGAGGTTATGGGGGTCCCCTCTCCCCGCCCAGGGCAGCCAGGAAGGGTCCCATGGAATCTACATTCTTTTGTTCCAATGACGAAAGGAATGTTTAGTAAGAGTCTGCTCTCTGAATTCTAGGAATTACTTGAATTTTGTCACAGAGGAGATGATTAATCCCTACAGGTACGTGTGTGAACAGAGGTGTGTGTTTTCATCATTTTCACCTGAGAGGAGGAAGAAGCCTGGCTGTATCCAAGAGCCCATCCTTGGGCCCAGCCCAGTGCAGTGCAGGGAGGGTCCCTGGGGTTGGGCTCACGGCGGCTGTGTGACCTTGAATAGCATACTCCCACAGAAAGGGTAGGAAGTCCACAGATACTGGCCTGGAGGCCGGAGGCCCACGTTTGCATGGCTGCGCCGCCCCATGCACCGCCTTCCAGCCACGTGCCGCTCCCTGTGCAGTGAGGTGTGGGCTCAGCCGTTAAGGGGTCCGCCGGCCCCATGCTGGGCCTTGTTTTGTTGACATGCCCACCCGGTTCCCTCAGAAACCTGCCCCTGGCCATCATCATCTCGCTCCCGATCGTCACCCTGGTGTACGTGCTGACGAACCTGGCCTACTTCACCACGCTGACCCCCGAGCAGATGCTTACCTCGGAGGCCGTGGCCGTGGTAAGATGCCAGCCCTGCCCTCCGAGCTCAGACAGGAGCAGAGCGGGCCCCTCCTTTGCAAACCACCCTCCTCCTAGGAGGGGTTGAGCCAGTGCTTGACCAGGCCCACCAGGCGTGCAGGGTACTGGCTGCACGTGGGGACCACAGGAGGCTTTAACGGTGCTGGTGCTCAGGCCACCCGGACGGTTTTAGATTGGCTCAGCGGTAGTGGTCCCGGCACCAGTTGTTTTTAGAGCTGAGGGGCTGAGTCCATTACAGACCTCCAGCCCCACCTCAGAGGCTGGTCCAGCATCTGAATAAATACTGAGCTCCTCAGGGAGGGTCGTGTGGATGAGGAAGGGCACTCCGGGGCCGGAGGTGTCTTGGGAAGGGCACTCCGGGGCCGGAGGTGTCTTGGGAAGGGACTGCAGGGCGGGGGGTGTCTCGGGCAGGGCTCACGGTCCGTGTCCATCCAGGACTTTGGGAACTACCACTTGGGTGTCATGTCCTGGATCATCCCCGTCTTCGTAGGCCTGTCCTGCTTCGGCTCCGTCAACGGGTCCCTCTTCACGTCCTCCAGGTGAGCCCGGCCGGGGCGGCTCTGTCCCATAGGTCCCGTGGGGCCAGAGCAGGACGGGGTGTGGGTGGGGCTGCCCCGCGGGTCGCTACTGCACACAGCTTCCTCACGTGAGCTCTGAGGGTTCTCTTTCTTGTTACTTTGAGTAATAACGTAGCCGTCAGGCCGTCACATGACTTGGAAATAACCCACATCCCTGCCTAGAGGTGACACAGCTACCCTGTCCATCCAGACCCTAGTGGGTTCATCTGGACCTTGCAGGGCCGAGGCTGACAGGACTCCCCAGCAGCTGTCCACGAGGGACACCAAGGCTTACGGCAGGGAGTGCAGCCCTCAGCACAGGCCCCTCCACTCCCACCTGCCTGGATCCCTCAGCCGAGGCTGACAGCCCGCCGCCCCTCTGTCCGCAGGCTGTTCTTCGTGGGGGCCCGGGAGGGCCACCTGCCCTCCATCCTCTCCATGATCCACCCGCGACTGCTGACACCTGTGCCCTCGCTGGTGTTCACGGTGAGTCCCACAGTGAGACATCCCCCCCAGTGGGGGGTCACTGGCAGGTGGAGGACAGGTATGTCCCTTGGGGATCACTGGGGGCTTTGAGATGTGTCGGCGGCGGTGGGGGGCACACCCTGTCTAGGAACCCCTGTCCTGGCTCCACCTGGTGCCGGCCAGGCTGGGGATCAGAGGCTGAGATGAGATGTAGACAGGTTAGCACAAGTGTTGTACCCGTCACCAAGTGCGCCCCTGGATGCCAGGGAGCACAAGGTAGTTTTTTCTCCAAAATTAATACACGGTAGTTGTTAAAAAAACAAATCTGAAATCAGCGTAGAGGCACTTGAAGTCAAACCTCCCAACCAGGGTAGACGTGGCCTCTGCCACCTTCGTGAAGCCCAGGACCTCAGCCACCCTGCCATCAACACGTCCCTTTGCTCTGAGGGCCCGTGTGTGGTGCTGACCACTTCTTCCGCTAAGACGGGACAGGGTGCGTGCGGTCAGCCCTCCCCCCGGGCACATCCCGAGGCTCACGGCCTGCCCTCTGGTTGCAGTGCGTTATGACTCTGCTCTACGCCTTCTCCAAAGATATCTTCTCCGTCATCAACTTCTTCAGCTTCTTCAACTGGCTCTGCGTGGCCCTGGCCATCGCCGGCATGCTCTGGCTTCGCTACCAGAAGCCGGAGCTGGAGCGGCCCATCAAGGTGAGGGCTGGGTGTCCACACTGCCCCTTCCACAGATGAGGGCTCAGGGCGCCTTCCCTAAGGGCACCCTGATCAGTGCATGAAGATGTTCTGATCTAGATGAGGGACTGAGCTCGGTTGATGACTGTTGATGGCCAGGCATGTGATTCCAGGTGCTGGGGTTCGTCCAAGGTCACAAATGAGCCCCTAAAGCCCTGCTGTTCTAGAGCTTGTCTTCTGGCAGAAGAGAGGCAGAAGAAGGCTGCCACGCCAGGCGGGTGTGCGGGGCGAGGGGACTGGGCTGCCTGGCCGGGGGTGGGGAGAGTGAGGATTGCCACGCTGTCTGGGGAGGGGTGGGCGCTGGCGTGACCAGGGATGGGGGTGCTGCAACAGGCTGCAGCGCAGGGCATGTCCCCTGACTTTGCCCCTGCTTGATCCATTCAGACTGTTTGCCCCCTGTCTGCCTGGTCTGAGAGGGCGTCTCCCTTTCCTCCGCTTGGTACTGGGGGCCGCTCCCCAAGGGCAGCCGTTTTTTTGCACAGAGGGGGCCACATACCTCCCGGGGCCCTGGCAAGCACATTGGCTCTACCCCCCAACAGTGGTGTCGGGTCGAGGGCGGAGCCCCTCTGCAGCTGACACAGGCCTCGCCTGCTTCCCCACCTCGCAGTCCTTCAGAGGCCAGGCCCGGCCTTCCTGCCTTGGACAGGTTCCCTGGGCGCCAGGGCGACCTCAGTGCCCTGGTCCACCTGGCTACCTGCTTGTGGGGGATGCTGTCCCCGCGAGGCCAGGCGTGGGTCTGGCAGTCTGGGCTGACCTTAGGGGACCCTCGCTCTCCCCAGGTCTCTTGCCAGTGTGTAGACAGAGGGTGGAGTCCGTGCGTGGACACGCCGCCTGGCGGGAGGCACAGTGTTTGCAGAGGGGGACTAGTGTCCCTGGGCCCCTGGCTGTGTGTGGGTGGGGCTGTCTGCCCAGCGGCTGTGTACCTGTGGTCCAGCCTGTCCACAAGGGCCCTCTGAGAAGGCAGGCACACCTTGCTTGTTAGTGGTGGCCGCGGTCTTCCCAGAGGCGTCACCCCCCATCAGGCGACCGTGGTGGGGGGCAGGGTTCCCTCCTTGTGATGTGGGAACCTGGGAGTCCACCCTCCCCTGACCTTGAGAAGCCTGCTTGTTCTCAGTCACCCGCCGGCTCCCGCTGGTCTTTTGGTAATTACTGCCTGCTGCCCTTGCTGAGCTGGGTAAACGGAGAACGCGGCGGGGTCCCGCTTCTCAAGAGGCCGGCGCAGCTCAGGGAGGCCAGCCTGGGGGAACCTCAGGCCCTGGCAGATAGCAGAGACACTGCTCAGGCAGCATGGTGACCCTGGTCAGGAAGGCTCAGCCAGGCACAGGGCTGTCTGGTGGTCTGCGGGAGAGGCTGGGTGGGCCCCGGGGAGGCCAGCTCCAGCAGGGGCGGAGGGAGGGTTCCAAGGGTGGCTGGGTCGTGGCAGGTGTGGAGGGGAGGAGACACATGGAGGAGACTCCAGGCTCCCTGGCATCAGCTGTGGCCCCCCTGGCAGGTTCACTTGGCCCTCCCAGTGTTCTTCATCCTGGCCTGCCTCTTCCTGATCGCCGTCTCCTTCTGGAAGACCCCCGTGGAGTGTGGCATCGGCTTCACCATCATCCTCAGTGGCCTGCCCGTCTACTTCCTTGGGGTCTGGTGGAGAGACAAACCCAAGTGGCTGCTTCAGAGCATCTGTGAGTCCCTCCCTGCCTGCCAGGCCTCCTCCGTCCCCCGGGGATTTGTCCCGCCCACCTGGCTGTGCTCCCCTGACCTTACTCCAGTGGCCAGGAGCAGCACAGTAGACAGTGCCCCCCGCCCTGGGTCACTGGCGGTGGGCGGGGGAGGGGGGTCAGCATCTGGATGTGCGAGGTCCTGGCTGAGGGGCCCGCAGTGGCCAATCCAGGCCTGTCTGGCGGTGACCTGGCCCACGTATTTCAGGATAAGACGCTGAGCCTGGCACCAGCTAATCTCAAAACAAGGGATTCCAGAAAACCAGGCTGCTCTTGCCAAGTAACAAAATCCCCCCCGTCTGCCGCCAGCTTAAAGCCAGCCGGCTGACCTAGAAAAGCAGGGGAGGAGAAAACGGGATCCCTCACAGCGGTCATGGGGCTTGTTGACAGGCCTGTTCAGGACTGCGCTGAGACCGCTGTTACCGTGACAGGCTCCTGGGTGGGCTTAAACACCCCGCAGGGAGCCATCCCAGAATTCTGCTGGCCACATGCCTGGGGCCCAGGGCGCTGTCCATCAGTGAAATGATGTGAGCAGTCACACACACTCAGGGCCCCTCCGTCCTGAAACGCCCTCCCCCAGTGATGCTCGTGGAGCGTCCGTGGGTTCACCCGGGCCATAGCACACACACCCGCCTGCTCCAGCCCCTCTGAGGCCCGTGGGCATGTGGGCAGCCGGGCCCATCATCCTGTTATGGGTTCTGGGGTCTGAACTGGGGTGAGGGGTGGAGGCAGCTCACTTGCTGCCTCCATTGCTAGGATCCTCCCTTACTAGGATCCTTGACCACCCCCGCCACCTTCCAGTAATAGTCCTAGCAGATAGCCAGGGGCACAGGCCATGCCCCCCCAGCAGGAGGCCTGGGGCCTGATGCCTACACGTGAATTCCTGACTTCTCTTAAGACCTCGGGACTCAGGACAACCGGGGCTGAGTGAGCCTACGTCCCAGGCACCAGGTCCCTGACCCCCAGGCACCAGGCCAGGGTACCCAAGTAATGCTCTCTCCTCCCGGCAGTTTCCACAACGGTCCTGTGCCAGAAGCTCATGCACGTGGTTCCCCAGGAGACGTAAGCGACCAGAGCCAGGAGGCCGCCCTGAGAGAGCGACTCGGTCCCACCATCCAGGCAGCTCCTGCGGGGCCTCCGCTGTCCCTGCCCTGGGAGGCGGCCGGGCCACGGTGAATCCTGGTACGAATTTAGTCCCCGAAGGCGGACGTCCGCGGATACCTCTCGAGCGTGGAGGCAGGAACCTCGGACCAAGGAGGCCGCGGGCTTCCTCCCAAACTGGGCCTCCTCCCTTCTCACCTTCGTTTATTTGTATTTTTTTTTTTAACTTAAGTCTTGGGTTGCGTTGACATTACCAAGACAATTATTTTTTTTTAAAGAAATGGGGTGGAAAAGTTTTCTCCCCGAACGCTGTCTGCAGCACAGTGTTCCTCCGAGGGGCCAGGTCCTGTCACCAGTTTCTGGACGGTGGCCTGGACACATGTGCTCGGCTTCCCTGTTTCTCTGTTGTAGATGCAGTGACTTCGTAAAACTAACCTCCGGGCTTACATCTCGTTGCCTTAAAGCTCTGCGCTAGCTTCCTCCCCTCCCCCGGAGAAGAGAAAGAACGCCTAGAGGCTTGTAGAAGGAGGGGCTTCGGGCTGGTGGACAGCGGTGGGCAGGGAGCTCCAAGCAGAGGTTAGGGGCAGCTGGGCGACCCTGGACCTCCCATCAGCACATGCAGTTGTGGGGGGGAGGTGCGGGGGGCTACACCCTGTCACACAGAACACCTCCAAGGTCCTGTCTGTACACCCCAGCCTGAACGCCAGCCTGAGCAGAGGCCCGAGGAGTCCGGTGGCTCCTGTGGTGGGTGGTGGGCAGTGCAGCCTCGGGCCTGTTCTGCATCAGTTTTGGAACCAGGCTCTGGTTCTTTGAAAGCCTCACACTTGGAATCTGTGAGCAGACGCCTCGACCCCTCAGGGGCTTTGAGGCTGTGCCCCCACACCCCAGGCCTCGGGCTGGGGTGCAGCCCTGGCAGCCGTCTGGGGTGCTCCCAGCTCCCTGGCCGAGGCCCCGCCGGCCCCGCCCCCGTCACCTGTCCCTGGCGCCCGGCCTCAGCTGCACCTGCTCCGGAGACCGCCTGAGTCCTGCTGGGGCCAGCGCACACACCCAGCCTCCCCCTGCTCCCAACAAGAGGCTGTGCTTTTGTTGTTGTGGTTCCCATAGCGTTCTCCCCGGGAGGCAGCCAAGGGCCAGAAGCTCGCCTGGCCTTTCTGGGTGGGCTCTCTGTCTTCCACGGAGGCCACTTGGGCATCAGTGTCATCCGCAGTCAGTCTCCCTCTAGGCCCTGCCTTGGCCTGTGACCCCTGACCTTCCCATCAGGGTGGGGTTGAGCCGAGCCTTTGGGCCTCATTGCTCAGCTGCTGCCGGTTCCCAGGGGCCACGTGAATTCCGCGTGGCCATTCCAGCCGTCAGCCGCCTAGACTCCGGGGCCCCACGTGGTCCGATGGGCCCAGAGACACAACAAGCAGCTTGGGGGACCCGGGATGGACGTGGAGGCAGCCAGATGTCCAGTCCTCCCAGCCCATGCTGGTCAGGAGACCCTGCCAGCTTGTGGCTCCCAACACAGCATCCACTGGCGTCTCCTCACCAACTGAATCCTCCCAGGCCACGGTCCACACGTCTGGGGCCCGGCTCAGCGTCTGGAGGCAGAATGTCACTGGGGAAGCCGGAGGCCTGACGTGAGACTCTGCTGGGGCCTCAGTTTTCTCGGGCGTACACGGGGCACTGCCCTCTGCCTCTCACGGGCCTCCAGCAGCCTCATGGCAGATTTTGGCCTCCTCCCGTGGGCTCTGGGGCCGGCACTTGGGTTTCCTCATGGTCCACACCACCGGCCCTCGATGTGACCTGGCGGAGCGCAGGGGACAGGTGACCATGTCCAGAGCTCGGTGGCTTCTGGGGGTGGGGTACTGTCACCCCTGCAGGGGCAGGGGGCCCTGAGCTCCGTTTATACTGAAAGACCAGGGGTGTGCCTCCCCAGCATCTGTGAAGGCAGGTTGGGGGCCCGGGCTGCAACCTTGGGGCTCTGGGGCCCGGGCACCCTGGTTCTGCCACGTCGGCCTTCTGGGCCAACTCCACTCCTGATCACACTACTGACAGGTGTCCTGAGCGTTCCTGCTTGTCGGTTAATTTTATTTTTAAGCCAGATTTTGGCATAACAGGCGAGTGTGTGTCCAGCCATTGTGCTTCACTTCACCCTCACGTCTCCCTGATGGGAGGGCACCGTGTTTATTTATTGTGGGGCGATGTGCAGCCGTGCTGCCCGTTGGGTTCCGGCCGCATCAGCCGCCCACCACGATGTCGCGTGTGTGTGACTTTGCGCCTTTCTCTTCTGTTAACGCTGTTAATGCTAACGTGTTACGCTTAGCTGGTTTGGGATGGGGAGTTTTGTGTTTTGTTGGGGGAATTTGTTTTTTAAGAATTGGAATTACAAGCACTGTTGACGGTCTTTTTGTTTTTTCTTCCGCGCCAAGTTCTGGGTGAGGGAGGTTCCAGGAGGAGGGTGGTGATCATGCACAGCTCCTTGCCTGGCTCATTTAGTCACCCCACTCACTCATTCACTCATGAACAGATAGGTGAGCAAGGCCAGGGAGGAGCCAGAACTTGGAGCCACTTCTTGGGAGAGACATTGAAGCCAAGAAGAGAGCAGATTGGGCTTGGCCTAGTGGTACCTGCAATAATGCAGGCCTTGGGGTCACCAGGCCAGGGTCGTTGGGTGGGGTGGGGCAGCACATGCCAGCTTGGGCTCAGAGGAAAGGGCAGGCTTCCACAACACAGCCTCAGGGTGGAGCAGGGCCGAGAGCCACGCCAGCCCTCACCACTTGTTGATGGCAAACTCCATTCCTCCCAAGGCCTTGCACAGCCAGGCATAGGTGTGCCAGAATGCATGGCCACAGCCTGTCCACGGCAGCTGCTGAGCCAGCCCCGCTGCTGGGACGTGGGGCCTTGGGGGGCCTCTGTGGAGGTGTTCGCACCAGCCCCTGGGCTTGGGTCCCGGTGCTGCCTTCAGCAGGTCCACTGCCCAGGCCCTTGTGCATCCTGCAGCCCCTCGATTGCTCCAGGGGCCCAGCTGGACAAAATCCCGGGTCAGCTCCATGAGACGTGGACACGCGCGTTAACCTCCCTTGTCCGTCCCAACAGCAGCAACAAGAGGAGGGCATGTACCTGCCCGGCCGCTGATAGAAATGGGTCTGGACACAAAAAGAACGGGTCTCAAACCAGCCCAAGCAAATTGCCCAACACATGTGGTCTGAGCAGAGCTGGCGGGTCTGGGTCCTCTGTGAGGGGAAAGAGAAATGTCCCTTGGGGGCTGGGAGAAGGACTAGGCATGTTCACCCAACAGCCTGTGTTGCTCAAACCCCAGGCACCTGGGCACGGAGAGGATGTTTGGAGACGGAGAAGAGGGTGGAAGGGTACTGGCTCCTGCAGGAGGCCTCTCTCTTCTTGGTCCCCAGATTCTTGGGAAGGGGCTGGTAGGGTTGGGGTATGGGCAGTGAGGCAGAGGCCTCTAACATCAGGGGCTAGCCAAAACTACCACGAGGGCGTGGGATCTTGCCTGGCTACAGGGATGGGGGCCAAGCACACAGAACTGGATCCCAAGCAAAGTGGGAGGGACCCAGGGGGAGAGCTGGGAAACTGAGCCGTCACGAGCTCCCGGGGAGGAAACAGTGCCCACCTCGTGCTCCTGCTTCGGGACAAGACCGGTTCTGTGTGTCTTAAACACATGACACTTCCCCGGCCTCCTAGATGGTGAAGGGAGGGCCAAAGACCTGGAGAGAATACCCCCACCCCCAAAGGGGCTCTCTGTACTCAGGAGTCTGCCCCAGGCGAGCAGCTCCTTGTGGCTCCAAAACCTTCGCCCTCCTGCCAGAAACTGCTCCTAAATTCCTCCTTGTGCACGGTCACATCACACAGGTCCAAGCCGCAGGCCCTACTTCTAGGGGTCCAGCTCTGGCAAGACCCAGATCTTTGTCCTCCAGCCAAAGGGTGACTTAATCCTGCAAGTAGAAACTCAACTGTAATTAACTAAAACACTTAAGTTTAAATCACACCAGCGCCCCAGGTGATCAGATCACAGAACTCGTCTCTACCCGTTTTCCCGGAGAACATATCCTCTCTGGATCTAAGGCATGGAAGGTTCCCTCGTAGCCCTTTGTGCAGGCTGGCTGGAGGATGGCATGTGTCCCCCAGAAGGGCTCTTACCACCTCCCCCAGAAGGAGGGCTCGGGGCCCAGAGTGGCGTGTGCCTGCCCCTGCCCACCTCTGGTCCCAGCCCTTCCAAGCCTGCGCAGGTAGTGGCCACCCAGGCACGCTGGGCCCTAACCAGGCCCCTGAACTTGGGAAAGGGATGTGTCCAGGGCAAGGTCTTCAGGGCCAACTGGGCCTCCCAGCTGAGACTGCAGGCTGGGCCGCCCCTCACCTCAGGGAAGTTTCCACCTCATCTGTCTATACAGCCCCCGAGGCTGGTTCCTCCGTTGCCAGGGCCACTCTGTCCTGGTAGCTGGGGGAGCAGGAGGCTGCCTGGACCTGATTGCTACCCCCGCCCATTCCTCTAGCTGCCATGATGTGTTCCAGCCTCTGATGGTGGTTCCATGGGACAGACTGCCTGGGTCTCAAGGAGCCCCAGGGGTGGGGGGCTGAGCCCCTACTGTTCCAGAAGAGCTGTTCCTGTTCTATTTCTGAGCTGTGGACCCCGCAGGGAGAGAGCTGACGCAGGGGCCAGATTTGGCCTGAGGGAGGAAGGATGTTGGATGGTCACTGCAGAGAGTGCCTGACTGAAGGATGGGCCTGCCTCTGGGCCAGGGTAGGGGAGAGAGGGGAGGAGGCCAAGGTTCTCCACAGGGAGGGAAGGGGTCAGAGAGGGCCGGGGTGTGTGTGGGGTGAGGGCAGTCAGGAGGGCCACGGGAAGCTCCCCCCCTCAAGGCGGCCTGTCCCAGGAGCGGCTGTCAGCTCGGGGGTGTGGGCAGGGAGGGGAGTCACCCGAGTCTGGTTATGAGCACTCCATCCCCTGGGTCAGAGGGCGAAGGA